ATATATATGTTATTGGAGTTGCAGAATAGAAATGTAAAAATTTGACCGACAGCTTTTTTCTCACCACTGAGGTGCAAAATGATCTCAATGTGTCGGTCGTATGGATGCTCCTGAGCCAAGGTGATGTAGGTAGCAGAGGCACTTTGGGCACTGGGATCTGCATCTGCTCTCAAAGCGTGAGTTGGGCTCTCCAGTCCTGCAAAGAAAAAAAATTATAAGAGAAGCAAATAAACATCATAGTTATTGCAGAATAATCCAAGCAGGGGTCTCTGCAGTCAATAGGTGGGAGCTTCTTGGGTGTGGGCGTAGTTTGATTAAGCCATGTTTGGTAGGACTTGTGTGGAGAAGTGGAGATCAGATTGCTAGTTTTACTAATTTTAGTCATTACTTGAGACAGGAAGGTGCCAGCTGCACAAAATTTGACCGCTACACTTGTAGAGAGATGTGTAACAATTCGGACAGGTTTAATAAAGAGGACAGCCAGTACCTGCAAGCAGACAGGCTGCTCTGACCAGCAGCTGGAAGCTGAGTTCATAAGGTGCCAGGTTGGCAGCAGGGTTTTTAAAGACTGCATGAGAGCACTGCTGCTCCGAGTCCATGGCTCGGTCCTGTTTTCCTGAGGTGGCACCAAAACAGCTTGTTGCCCTGTGGGGGGAAAAATAATTTTACACATAGCAAACAATCTGTCTTTGTTTTTTGTTTTTTGTAATGCAAATACAAAGAAAAAATATTTTCCCACGGTCATGACAAATACCCAGTTTCCTCAGATTTCCCTCCATTTTCACTTTTGCTCGAAGTCAACTGGCCACTGACTACAGGAGTAAGCAGTGCTGGATAGATGATTCGGATCGCTCCATTTTCTAATGTGGGGAGTTCAAGGGTGGTGCTGATAATGACAGACACTATATCCATGGGGGCGATGACTCCGCAGCCCACAATGAAGGTGGTTCTTTCAAGGTCTTCATCCAGGATGAGRTGTCCTAAGTTAAAAAAAACAATGTGAAATAAATCCAAATGATATAAAAAATTTAGGGTTGTGCTGGCACCAGTTTTCCTCAAACTAGGTACAAGTACTTCAGTTTGGGTACTCATCCACACAAAGGACTGATCCTGTATACTTATAGCTTTGAAAACACATTTCTTTTATTTAGAACAAGGTATCTCTCCTTCCTTACAGCTCCTCTGACAGGATCAAATCAAATACACAGCATGATGATATATTTTAATTTACTTGGTACTAAAGAATCTTGATTATCTTTTAGTAATTGTATCAAAATATAGTCATTAAGGGTTTATCATATGTATAAGAATAAAAATGGTAATTAGAGTTATTATTTTACCTAAATAACACAATTAAATACCTACAACACATAACCT